GGGGGAGAGGAAGGAAGAGGGGGAGAGGAAGGAAGAAGGGGAGGAGGAGGAGGAGGAGGAGGAGGAGGAGGAGGAGGAGGAGGAGGAGGAGGAGTGCTTGCCACACCGAGGACCTCGAGGGGTCGGCGAATTCCCGGGGAGGGGGGCTCCTCGAGCAGTCAGGCCTCGCTGCCCAGTGCGCCACTGGCCCCCAGAGCACCGCAGATTTCATGACCCCTCCCGGTGACGATGACGATGACGATGACGATGACGATGACGTGCCTGCTCGGGGCAGACGGCGAACACGCCAGCGCCGCCGTTCGGCGAGGCGGCGCGCACCTTCGAGTCTCGCCTCGCTCGGCTCGCGGGCCTCGGGCCTCGGGCCGCGGGGGGTGCGAGCCGCTGCGTCGGACCTCGACGGTGCCCTCGCCTGCGTATAGTCGGGCGGGCCCCAGCGCTGCCGCGGCCGGCGAGCTGGCCCACGGATAGCTTCCGCTCGGCAGCGGGAGCTCGCCGGACCCCCGGCGTCGTGATCTGTCGGCAGCGTGGCCCCCGGAGGTCTCGACGCCTTCCCCTGGACACGCGTTCGCAGTGCTGTCGATGGTCCCGGGGCCCGCCGATGGCCCCCAGAGGCCGAAAGAGTGTGCCAAACCATCCCGTCGCGTTTTTTTCCTTGCCCGAGGGGGTCCAGGTCAGAGGGAGGAGGCTGGCTTCGCACAGGGGGCGCAGGTCTGCTGCGGGGGGGGGGGGTGGAAGGCAGACGCCGTGGTGTGGCCGGGGCCGCCTGGGGCCCCCGATCCGCGCAAGGCCCCGAAAGCTGGGCGTGCCGCTGGGGCTGGCCGCAAGGCTGTAGCGCAGGTGGCGGCGCAGCTCGTCACGGACGTCCGGCCCGACGCCGGCCCAGAGGGCACGTATCAGGCGCCCGGGGGGAGAGCGGTCGGAGGAGGGCCAGTGGATGGGCCACGCGCAGCGGGAGGTGGGGGGAGGAGGAGGACGGTTGGAGGGCTGGAGGGTTGGAGGGTTCGAGGAAGAGAAGGAGGAGGAGGAGGAGGAGGAGGAGGAGGAGAGGAGGAGGAGGAGGAGGGAGGAGGAGGGGGAGGAGGGGGAGGAGGGGGAGGAGGAGGAGGAGGAGGGGAGGAGGAGGAGGAGGAGGAGGAGGAGGAGGAGGAGGGCCAGTGGAGACAGCGGCAATTTCCGTTCGGTTGGGGCACCTCGTCGCCGCGGCTGGGCGCAGCTCCGAAGAGCGGTGCGTCTGGGCCCCGGGAGGGGGATCCGGGGCCCATGCTGAGCTGCCGGCGTCTCGGCTCGCCGTGCTCCGAAGCGGCACGGGGCGGAGGAGCGCGAGAGCTTCGAGCGCTGTCTTCCTGGAGATCGGGCGTCTCGAAAAAATCGGGACAGCGGTCTTCATAGTTTTTGGCCTCTCGGGGCCCTCGCTGGGCCTCGGGACCGTCAAAAAAAGATTCGGGATGAAAAGCCGGTCCCAGGGAAGTGGTCGAGAGGTCGGGGGCCCGCGTCTCGAAAAAATCGAGACGTCGGATGTCTGGGTCTTCCTGGAGATCGGGCGGTCAGATGTAGGGGGATCAAGGGAGGAAAAACCACCCGGGCCCGACAGTTGGCGTTTACGAAACGGCCCTGGGCGTTGACTAAACAGCCCTACCCTGTTCGATTCCTCCTGTGGGGGCGTTTAGTAAACGGCTTCGCGTGTCGGGGTGGTTATTATGGGGATGGATGTTTTGCCCTCTAGGGGAGAAGCTCGGGCGGTGAGGCGGAAGAAGAGGAGACGGAGGCGGAGCAGGAGGAGGAGGAGGAGGAGGAGACGGAATAAGAGAACGGTGAGGGCGTGGAGGAGTAGCGTGCAAAAGAGGAGCAGCAGGAGGAGGCGACGCTTCCCACCCCCCTCCCTCTTAGGGGGGGGGGGGGGGGGGCCACGCCTCTGGAGGACCTGGCGCGAGGGGGGCCCTCTTCCCGGGGAGCACCGCGGCCCCCGTCCCCGCCATTGGTCGTGCAAGGTAGGGCGATCGGCTTCGACTGGTGAGGTGGGGAGCTAGTTGCTGGTTTGCCCTCTCCCCCTTTTGGGGGTAGGGCCCTCTAGGGATTCCCTCTCTACCTTGCTGGTCTTAGCCCTTGCGATGCGACGTGTCAAATCAACTCAAAGCAAGGTAGGGCGACCCGGGGGCTGCGCAGGAGGTGTAGGGTCTTGAAGTTTGAAGATTCCAGCAGCCATTGGGAATGAGGTGGTGAGGCCGTTGTCGAAGGGTGGCCCTCGCCCCAGCGCCGCGTACGTCCGTCGCAAGAGTTTCCGGCAGGTGCACGAGTTGGGGTGGGACCGTGTTCCAGAGGTGTATGCAGCTTTGGCGCCGTTCAGATTCGTTTTTACGTACACGCCAGTCGTGGAACGTAGGTATTTCTGGATTCCCAGATCCCAATGTACTTCAAGCGCGTTCCTACTTCAAGAATCGATATGTTTTTGCCGCGCTTTGTTATTCTCTGGGAGGGCCCGGTCCGCAATCTACTTAATCCGCCGTCCTACTTCATATAGTTTATACATATTTCTTCCGACCGACGTGTGCTTATTCACGCGTGCACGAATGTAGTGGTGTTGCTTTCAACATGTGGTTCTCGCTCAAGCACCACGCGCGTTCGTCTTGAGATTTCTGCATCAGCTACATGGTAAGTCGCTGGTGGGACAGCTTGGGCCCGAAATAAGATCCCTACAGGCCTCCTTCATTATAGCATCTACTTTTGCGAGGTAGGGGATCCACTACTGTAGCTGATGCAGAAAAGGAACCGTCTTCCACTCGTGTAGCTGAGCTACACGAGTGCGGCTCTTCGTTGATATTTCGAACATCGTAGCAATCGTACGGATGGAGGGTGAATCCTTTTCAGGTTGGGTCTTTGTTTGTCTCTCTCTCTCTCTCTCTCTCTCCTTATGTCTCTCTCTCTCTCTCTCTTGTTGTCGTTCTCTTTCTCGTTATGGTGTCTGTCGTCCTCTAATATCTCTCGCTCGCTCGCTCCGCAAGAGAGAGAGGAAGAGAGATAGAGAGAGAAGAATAATAATAATAATAAGAAGAAGAAGAGAAAGAGAGAGAGAGAGAGAGAACACATTAACATAAAGAGAGAGAGAGAGAAAACACAACAAACCAAGGAAATTAAGAGAGACACACCACAACTGCATTGTATTACACATTGCCCCGCTGTCTGCGGTAAACCGTGCCACTGCGCAGCCGCGCAGCAGCGTAGCATTGTAGCTGGAGGGAGGATTCGTTCACGACCCGCTTACATAAGTTCAGCGCTGTAGAGAATGTTGTATTTCAGCTTGCGCGGCCTTTAAGCCCCCTCTTCGTCTGTAGCCTGGTTATCTTCCTCCCTCCTCCTCCTCCTCCTCCCCTTCTCCCCCCTCCGTTTTGAAAGTATCGAAGGCTTCTTGGGGGCCCCTTTGAGACTTCTTGGCTACCTCGTGGGCCAGTCTTGGGGCCTCTCGGGGGCTTGTTGGAGCCCCAGCGGAGGTCCGTCGGGTGCCTCGGGGCCGTTTTGGGCGCGATGCTTCCAACGAGCCCTCCCGAAGAGGCTCGGTCGAATTATCTCGGTTACGTCTGGGCGGGTCTTGGGACAGTCTCGGAGCCCTCTTGGGCAGGCTTTGTCGTGCGGCCGTCTGCGGGCTCTATTCGGGTAGTTTTGGGCTGTCCTCGGAAGTTTTTGTGGCTCCCCAATTTTTTCCCGCGGCGATCTGAAGCCAGAGAGCGTCGGAGGCACACCACATTGGTTGCGTTCTGTTTTGCCACATGCTTCGCATCCAGGGACTTCGGTGGAGGCCTCTTTGGGCGTCTCTTGGATGCTTCTTGGTGCCCTGTTTGGAAGATTGGGGAGTTCTTCGAGCCTTTGGTGACTCTCTGGGGGCCTTTGGACTGACCTAGGGCGCCCTGCAGCCGTTTGGGCGCCAGCTTTGGTTGCCATGGAGTCGCCAGACAGCCAAATACCTATGGGAGAGCAGCACAGGGGAGCTCCCAAGCCACCACCATGTCAATGTTGAGCTACACTGTCAATGCTTCGCTCTCCTGGTGCCTTGCTGTGTTCTTCCTCGTTCACACGTGTCACGTGTGCGGAGCTGCACTGTCACTGCCGCGCTTTCCTGCGGCGTTGCCGTGCTCCTGCTCGCAGCGCACACCGCCAGAGGCGGCGGAGAGCTTGAGAGATCCATCCACAAAAAGGGGGGGCGACATTTCACACAGATGCAACGGCTACATGGATGGAGGACGGCTCCTTTCTCAAAACGGGGCCCCTCGCCAGGAGGGCAGGCCAACTGGGCGCTCGTTTTCCAAGGGGGTGCTCCCCGCAGGGAGGTGGAATCGCTGCCTGGACGCACGAGGAGGGGAGGTGGAGCGGGAGGCTGTGCTGCAACATGGTCGATGAATGCTGCGTTTACTCTGGCTCACCTCTTCTCGCCCACATCCTCCTCCTCCTCCTCCTCCTCCTCCTCCTCCTACTCCTCCTATTCCCTCCTCGATTCCCTTCTTGCGATCGGCGGCCCCCCAGGGCCCCCCAGCAGACTTACAGACATGGGGGGAGGTCCCCTAGCCGAGTTACCCCGAAAGCCCCGAATCCAGGAGAAGGGCCGTGAGAAAGGTGGGGCCTCTCGAGGGGCGGCCCTGGGGCTGCGTGCCGCATCGGCTGGCTCCCTGTGGACAGAACGGACAGCGCGCCGATCTGGGCCCCTGCCCGCTGCGAGAAATGGGCTGTACATCTTGATTCGCTGGAGCTTGCAATGTGTTGAGCTTGCAGTGTGTCCAGACGCCAGTACGCTGCAGAACTTCTGTAATCCAAGTTGTTGCATACTGGCTTATGTCATCGAGGGGAGCTCCCATAGCGGTGTCATGATTCTTGGTACAAGCAGAACCTGCCCAGCTTGCACCATCCTCTGGTGGTAGGTAAGGGGAGCCCAACATAGATATACGGTCATGTTGTTACGATTCCACGGGAGGTCGGCATCGACTTCAAGAATTGGCTGCAGTCTTGCAAGGACGATGGCTACAAAAGAGGGTGCAGGGAAGCCCTGACCAGGCCTCGCGGTTTTTCGGGGCGATGGCGGCAGGGCAGGGTGGGGTGATCTCCGCGAGTGGGGTAGGATGGGGAGGAGCGGGCGAGATAAGGAGAAGAGGGGCCGTGAGGTCGTGCAGGGGTCGGGACGCTCTGAACCCAGACCTTGACGTCACGATTCTTTCGCGGCGTGGACTCGCAGAGGTCTCGACCCGTTCCCAGGGACCGGCTTTCCATCCTGCGTCGCTGTTTGACGGTCCCAGGGCCCGTGTTTTTTTCAGTGAGGGGGTGGCCAGGAGCCTTTGGTCAGCGTGTCGCTCCGCTGATTCTGGCCCGCCACGCGTCGACGCGACACGCGACCCCCGTGGCCCCCATGCGTCAACGTCCCGAGCCCTTCCCAGCCTCCCGCAGCGCGGAGCGGAGCGACACGCTTTCGGCTCGCGGGGCACAGCGCGTCGCCGGGGCCGCCGCCGCGACACGCTCCGCAGCTCCCGACCGTGGCCCCGGCCTCTGGCGGCCGGTCGGGAGCGCTCGCGGCGAGGCGCCGCCGCTGGAGCGCGTCCCGAGGCTGGAGCACGGCCGAGGGCCCGCGGAAGCGCCCGAGGGCCCCGAGCCCCGAGCGTTGCCCCTCGAGCGAGCCTCCTCCCCCTCCTCCTGCTCCTCCTCCTCGTCCTTCTCCTCCTGCTGCTCCTCCTCCTGCTCCTCCTCCTCCTCCTCCTCCTCATCCTCCAACTCCTCTTCATCCTCCTCCTCCTCCTCCTCCTCCTCCTCCTCCTCCTCCTCCTCCTCCTCCTCCTCCTCCTCCTCCTCCCCTCCCCCCCCCCTCGCCCTTCCTGCACCGCCCGCAGGAGACGATACAGGTCGACAACCTGCGGGTGGAGGGCACGCTGCCCGCGTGGCTGCGCGGGAGCCTCGTGCACGCGGGGCCGGCCAAGTTCGAGTTCGGGGACGACGAGTTCGTGGACTGGGTCGACGGGCAGGCAGTCGCGGAGGGGCTCCCCGCTCCCCGCCCATCCTCGCCTCCCCTCCTCCCCACGATGCAGCCGACGACGACCTCAAGCCTATGACTGGGATGGCTCGTTTGCTTCAGGCGCTCTGGGTGAGCTCTCGGCGACCACGTCGCCTCTTCAGATTGGCCTGAGCTCACATGGCTATGGCCCTCCCTCCTGCGAGCACGCGCGCGCAGCAGCCAGGAAGGGAGGGGAAATGTAGGCACCGCCTGACAACGCCGCTCCACTTTGAGGAGCTGGCGCCGGGCACGAGAGAAGTTGGGACCGAACAAGAAGAAGCTCCATCCCTCCCTCCCCTTCGGAGGACCCCAACATTGCATCAACATGCACTTTGGGATGTCGACGCGGAGTTTTCTTTGATCGGTGCTGGGGGGATCCCCGCTCCCTCGCCTCCTCGCCTCCCCTCCCCTCCTCTCCCTCGGGATGCAACTCCGGAGAGGTTCAGTTCAGCATCGGCGCTGGTAGATCCATGGTCGAACACTGGCCCAAACCGGCAGGCTCCTGTTCAATTCAGCTTCAACCCGTTGAATCCGGTTGCATCGGGCTCAACCCCTGGCTTGATCCGTCATCATGGCCCCGTGGTCGGGCCGAGTAGCCTCCAAGCTGGCTTACGAAGACCTCCCCCGAGTTGCCTCCTGGCCCTCTCCCTCCCTCCCTCCCTCCGAGTCCGCGGCCCCGACGCCACCCCCGTCTTCGGTCTGGTGTCCACCGCGGCCAGGCGCACCGGCCGGAGGTCCGCCCGCCACGACAGGCGGGCGGGCCCACCGGGAGGGTTTTTCTGAGCACCCAGGCGGGGGGCGACAGCCCACCTGGTAGCCGGCGACAGGGCAGGCACCCAGCAGATGAGCAGGCACGGAGGGGGAGGAGAGAGGCCGAGCAGAGCCACGATTCTGGCCGCCTGGCACCGAGATTGAGGACCCGACCATTCCGCCCCGCCCACCCAACACGCTGCGGCGGCTCATGATAATATTCTGGGCAGCGGAATCGGGAACACACGCACACAATGACGCAAACGTGAACTTTCGGAGGTCCGCGCGGGTTTCTTGGCTCGGCGCCGGACGTTCCTCCCTGGCGCGCGGAGCGCGCCTCGGCGCCGAACCGAGAAATCCGCGCGGGCCTCCGAAAGTTCGTCTCTATGCCATTGCTTGGTCCCCTGAAACAGAGAGCCGGAAGGCGGAGGCGACGGGCGCGCGGCTCCCTCCTGACCTCCCAGCCCGCCCCCGGCTTCCTCGGCATCCCTCGGACGTGTTTTTTCTCGGCGAGGAGCATCTCGGACCCTCTCGCGACACAGTTCGCGCAGGCTGCCGAAGGATGCACGGGGAGTGAACGTCCGAGCGATGGCAAGCTCCTCGTGGCGGAGGGCCGCCACCACTGGGCGCCGGCCACACGCGGGGGCGCCGATCCTTGCCGGCGCCAGCGTCTCCAGTCAGCCACGCGAAGAGGGGGGTGGGGGGGAGGGGGGAGAGCTTCTTAAGCACCCCTGCTTCTTAGAAGGCGCGGGCCTTGTCTGTAGATGTAAGGCCGCCGCCTTCTAAGAAGCAGCCTCCTTCTAAGAAGCCCTCCCCCCCAGACAGCCGACGTCTCGATTCTTTCGAGACGCGGGCCCCCGACCTCCCGACCACTTCCCTGGGACCGGCTTCTCATCCCGAGTCGTTTTATGACGGTCCCGAGGCCCGGCGAGGGCTCCGAGAGGCCAAAAACTATGAAAAACCGCCGTCTCGATTTTTCGAGACGCCCGATGTCTGGGTCCACCCCCTTGTGCGCTCCGCCAGCGCTCCTCTCTTGGAGAGGCGGGCGGCTCCGGCCCGCTTTCTTCGACGCCGACGACGACGACGCGGACGGCGACGTGGACGACGACGACGACGACGACGACGACGACGACGACGACGACGACGACGACGACGACGACGACGACAACATCGCCGACGACGCCGACGACGGCGACGCCGACGACGCCGACGACGACGACGACGCCGACGCCGACGCCGACGCCGACGCCGACGCCGACGCCGACGACGACGACGGCGGCGGCGGCGGCGACGACGACGACGACGCCGACGCCTACGACGACGCCGACGACGACGCCGACGACGGCGGCGGCGACGACGGCGACGTGGACGGCGACGTGGACGACGACGACGACGACGACGACGACGACGACGACGACGACGACGACGACGACGACATCGCCGACGACGACGACGACGGCGACGTGGACGACGACGCCGACGTCGACGACGACGACGACGACGACGACGACGACGACGACGACGACGACGACGACGACGACGACGGCGACGACGACGAGGACGAGGACGTCCCAGGATCTGTGCAGGCGTCTGGTCGGCGCTCCTTCCAGAGTCGGGCGGCTCCGCCGTGCTTTGGTTGATTCTCCGATGTAAGATCGTGTCGCAAATGCACCCCTAACTTTCCGCCTCGGAACAGTAGGGCGAATATTTCCGCAAAAGCATAAAGGAAACAGCGACGGCAACGCAGGGCGGGAATCTGGCTGCCCGAATGGTGCACGAGGTGACGAGGCGCACGCTCCTTCGCCCCACGTATGTTGCCCCCCCCGTTGGGGAACACCCGACGGAGGCCATGCTGTACCGTATCCGAATTAAGGACAACGGCGTCTGCGAGTACACGAACAAGTGGCTCGACACCTCCAACCACAGGGCACACCGCGAGGTCCTTTGTGCTTCTCCCGCCTCCGTTCGCCCTCTCCCTCCTCCTCCTTCTCTCCTCCTCGTCCTCCTCCTGTCTCCTCTGTCCCCTCGTCCTCTGTCTCCTCCATAGCCTCTTCCTCCCCCTCCTCCGCAGCCGTTGTGGCTCAAGATGACACTACCCCAGCGGTGTCAAATGGACACCGCTGGGCCGCGGCCAATTGCTTTTTTTCCGCCAAAGCCACGGGCTTGCGGGCGCGCATCCCCATATTCCGCTGTCACACTTCTGTGTGCAGTGGCCTCCACATCTTGCGAGGTGATCAGTCGCGCGGTGTTGCGAGCCGTCGCCATGCCAGAGGTTGTCGTACAGCACGGGGATTGGAGACGCACAGCGCGACAATCGACGTGGACTCCCTCGCGTTTTCCGCGCAGCTCAAGCACCGGGCCCCCCGCTACGGCATCGCGAACCCCACCTCGGATGGCGCCGCTGGCTTCCCCGACCCCTTCGTCGAGGTCGAGCCGAGCCGCCCGCCCGATGCGCGACCATTGGAGTCTGTCGCAGAGGTCGCTCCAGGGCGAGCAGCGCGGCTCAGCGTTGCGGACGCGCGCTCACCATGACGGGCGACCTCGACATCCCCGAGCACGGCCCCAACAGCTTCAACGCGATAGTTGTCTCGAGCGCTATCGAGGCTCAGCGTCATCTCTACCCCCCGACCTGGGAGCAGCTCCTCCAGGAGACGCATGAGATCAGAGACTCTCCACCACGCATCGCATGATCTTCGACGTCATTGTGAGCGCGATTGACTTCCGCTTCATCTGTCTGACGTCGCACAACACCCCCAGGGCGGTCACCTTGCCTTGCGCCGATGACCTTCCCATAGCTGGCGCCGACGGGAAGTCGAGCGATCGCGCAATCTGGCATCCGTCCTGCTCGCAGCAGGCCGTCCCGAGAGCGCGTTGCGCCGGCCTTCATCGTCGGCTCGCCGCGCCGCGCGCGCCTTTAAAAGTCCTTCGCCGAGACGCGCGACGAGACCCATTGCCCTGCTGCCCGCCGTCGGCGTTTCCAGAAGCCTCTGATGCACAAGGCCGCCCGCTGCGCCGGAGACGCAGTCGCCCTCGGCCCCGCCGCCGAGTTCTCAGCGCAAGCGCGCAGCTTCGTCAAAGAGGCTCGTGACATGAACCGCGCAGCAACGCCAGAGCCACTTGGTGCCCCGGCGCCTGCGTCGCGAAGGAAACGACTTGCAGCGCCGGCGCCTGCCGCAACCGCGCCGCGACTGTTGGCGCCCTGTTTCAATTGGCAGATTCCAGCGCGTTATTGCAAGAGACCGCTGCGGGCTCCCACTGACTGCTCCGCGCGGCGCCCCACGGCGCCAGCAAGTCCGACGTCTTCGGCGTGCCCTTCTGGGCCAACCTCGAGGCGCTCCACGACATCGCGCCGCTGCTCTCCGCCACGCGCTGGGGCCCCCGCCCCGGGGGCATCGCGAGCTGGCGCCACTGGTGCTACTCGCAGCGCGGCTTGGCCCACGTCTGCCCCTGCATTGTCTCCGCCGAGATCCGCCTCGACGCCGAGTGCTACGAGCGCGCCTGCGCCCCCCCCCGCTTGGCGCGCATCCGCCCAGCGCGCGCGCTCCGCGACGACGCGGGCCACGACCCCGCGCGCGTCTTCCGTCTGGGAGCGCTTCGCCGCCGCGCTTCCGCCAAGCGCCGGGCCCGCCGCCGCTGGGCGCGCAACCGGCGCGACCTCTGCGCGGCCGAGTCCGACTCGCGGCGCTCCCTCGGCGACGACGAACACGACGAAGAAGCAGTGCCAAACAAGCCAGACCAGACCGGCGCATGATGCGCGAGCTCCTCGCGGACTTTCTCGCGCGCTGGATCCGCGCCCGCAAGTTCCTGGCGACCCGGCCAAGAGTGCGGGCATGGGATATCGTCTAAGCCCATCCGGGCGCATGGTCGACGTCGGACTGCACGCACGTGCGCCCGCAAAACTCCTGTGCGAATATGGATGTGACCGCCCAGACTCCATGCTGCTCCTCCTCCAATGCTTGAAGATGATCCACCTCCTCGCGTACCCTGTCGACCAGCTGAGCGTGTGCGCCCGCGTCTGCGCGGACCTCCCCATCCACCCGTCGCCCCGCGTCGTCGAGAACGGGATCGCCAGCTCGGCCATCCGCATGGGCTTCGCCTCCCACAAGTACCACCTCATGAAGGACTTCACCATCGCGGACAAGAACGCGATCCACGTTGCCTCCGCTGCCCCCTCCTCATCCTCCGCCTCCTCCACTTCCTACGGCCGCAATGACCCCCAGCGAAGCCGCTGTTGGGCTTCCATGATGCGCATCGCAGAGCCATCGATCCCATATCTTCCACACCTTCAAGGTGCAAGATGCATCTCCGCACTGAATATGACGCTAGCACATGGCTCGTAAGTGTTCGTGTTTTGATGTGTTCCTCCTCCTCCTCCTCCTCCTCCTTCTCCTCCTCCTCGTCCTCCTCCTCCTCTTCCTCCTCCCCCCCATCTGAATTCCCAGGGTGGCAGAATCACTGTCCGAGAGACGTGCTCGCGGCCCTCAATTCCGACCATCTGGGAGCGCATCGCGTACATGTTCCAGCCCCCCGACAACGAGAACGGCAACCTGCACATTTCCCAGTTCGGGGGCAACTCCAGGTGCATCTCCATGTCCGTGGGCTCTTCGTTGATGGAGTTCACGCTGGAGGATCTCGGAACAGTGGGAAAGGTCAATTTCAAGGACGACATTGCTGACATGGGGCCTCTGATTTTTCATGCCGAGCCGCATGTCGACGGCGCCACAGGCGACGAATCCCTGCCCCGCTCGCCGGAGCAGTGGGGGATTTTCTGGTGGTGGGGCGGGGGGAATGTCTCCAAATTAGAGATGGGAGGGACGTCTGAGCAATTCAGGTGGTTTCGTTTGTCTTTCCTCGGGGTTAGGTGGGCTTGTCCCCGTGCCGTCAGCGTCCTCCCGACGAAGTTCCGCCGGTGGTGCGTTCCGAATATTTGATTTTCAGCAGCGGTCAGAAGCGGTATACTGGCATGGCGATACACACATACATATACGTACACATACCCATACGTATACATATACATGTACATGGATGTATACATAGACATCTACATATGCTTGTACCTGTACATATACAGTTCCACATTCCGAAGCATAGACATATATATATACACATACATACATACATACATACATACATACATACATGCATGCATACATACATACATACATACATACATACATACATACATACATACATACATACATACATATACATGTACATATACATGTATTTGTCATACGACCACCCTTCGGGTGATAACGAGGTTAGCGGGGAGGGAGACTGAACCAACTGATAACAACTGCGATGGCGGTGGTGATGACGATGCTGGTGATGCGCCTGTGAGTTGGCGACGACACGAGGTGACGATGCTGCATCGCGATGTGGTTCCACTATCGACCCGACTCGATCGATCTCACCATCGAGACACCACTAGGGCACCATGGAGCCAAACAGATACCACCACTATTGTGCTGTGATGGTTGGTGCTAAGTGTGATGGCTGGCTGCTGACGACAATTGATTGCCGCAGTGGTGATGAGTGTGGCGGCGACAGCAACGGCGGTAGTGCTGAGTAGGATTTGAACACCATCGATCTCACCACCGATCTCACTATCGATCTCACTATCGGTCTCACTATCGATCTCACCATCGATCTCACCACGGGACACCACAGGCCACTGACGGGACACCCGCAGGACACCGACGGGACATTGACGGGACACCACGGGACACCATCGGGGCATCAATCGATCTCTCTTTCGAAGTACTATCGATCTCACCATCGGTCTTACTATCGATCTCATTCGCTCGATCTCACCCTCGATCTCACGATCGGCCTCATTATCGATCTCACCACGGGACACTGACGGAATACCGACGGGACACCGACGGGACACCGACGGGACACCGACGGGACACCGACGGGACACCAACGGGACACCGACGGGACACCAACGGGACAGCGACGGGACACCGACGGGACAGCGACGCGATACCGAGTGGACACCGACGGGACACCACGGCGGGACAACCCAGCCTCCGCCCGCTTACCGCGGGGGAGAGGCGGACAGCGACAGGATACCACGGCGGGACAACCCGGCCACCGCCCGCCCACCGGGGAGGGAGGAAGGGCGGTCAATGGTGTTGGACCCGCCTTGGCCACAGCGGGGTCATTGTCTAGCCCGCCCCCGCAGCTTCGCCTCGCCCGCACGCACGACACGGGCCCGAAACCGAAACCGATTTCCCGGTGGGAGGCTCTCCTTTCCACTTCCATATCATCCCCCAACCTCCGATACACATACGTACAGACATTGAGAGAGGGAGAGAGAGAGGGAGGGAGGGAGAGAGAGAGAGAGAAGGCTTAAGCAACTGTCTTGCTTTGCTAACTTAGCCTAGTCTGGATTCAGTCGTGGCTTCGAGTCAGATTTCGTTGTGGCTCGGCCCAGCTCGTGTGTGCTGGCCAAGTTGAGGTTTGTGATGAGGCGCTTGCTGATTGAGCCCGCAGAGCCTCTCGGGGGTCTCGATGCAAGGCTCCGTGCCCACTTGGAGCTGTCTGGTGGCGGCCTTCAGGCCTCTTGGAGGCATGTTGGACGCCATATTGATTGAGTCACCTTAAGGTAACATGTGCCGTCTTGCAGGCCATCTTGGGCCACAGTATCTGGGGCCCTCTTCTGGCCATCTGTTTTGGGTCACCTTGGGCCCTCGAACCCCTCTCGTAACCCTGGTCCCTAATCCACGGGGAGGACTTCCCTTGACAAGGCGGGCGGGCCCCTTCCGTCGACGGGTGGCCACACAGCCAGCGTGGGGTGGACTCCAAGAGTTCACAAGACGCCGCCAGGACGGCACCAAACGACCAGACCAGACAAGACAAGACATGACAGTGCACGAGAAGACACGCCAAGACAGCCTCCAGGTCGGCCCAAGATGGCCCGAAGACGCCGCCAAGAGCTCGGCACAGGACCCCAGGCGAGCACCAAGAGGGCCCCAGGAGATCTCCAAGGCGGTCGAACTCTCGAGAAGGCCCAGAACATTTGTCAGCGGCCATGACGCCAAGAGGGCCCCCCCAGGGGCCCACACGAGGCCCGCAAGCGGCCCCAGAAGAGTCCCCCGAGAGGCCCCCAAGAGGGCCCCTAGGATTAAGTCGGGCCTGTCCCTCTCCAGGAGGAATATTCCAAAATAGTCCAAAAATGGGGGACGATTTCTTTGCCATTCTGGGGCCACTTTGCGGCATTTGTTTTACTATTTTAAATTTGTCCAACATTCCCCTGTAGGAGAACAGACCCGACTTAACCCTAGGAGGCTTCGCTGGGCCAGGGGGGAAGTCTTCCGGCGTAGGGGTAAGGAGAGGGGTAAGCACCTCCCCGAAGGGGAGCATGGAGGTAGACAAGAACGAGTTCGCCAAACCACCCACGCCCAGAGGACTGATGGGAGTCTTTCTCGAATGTTTTTTTTTTGCTCGCGCGTAGCTTAGCACAGCACCCCGAATATTGGCTCACACTAGCTTGGTTACACTTGCGCAGCTTCAATGTGCGATTTCGTTGTTGCGTGTTTCATCCTAGCTTAACCGTAGCATTTGTCTTCGCTTTGCTTTCGTTTCAGAGATAATCGCAGCTGTGGCGTCAGCTGCAGCTGTGTATATGATCTAGGGTTGCCCCCCCCATGAATATGGGAACGAGCCCCCCCCTCCCCGCTGGGTGGGTACGCCCTTGAGCCTCGCGAAGGCCTCGCGAATGGGATCGCTTCCCCCACCTACCCTGTGGTCGTGGCCATGTAGGCGTGGCGGTGTAGGTGATCCCTCCCCTGTGGGTGTGGGGTGGTTTCGTCGTCATGTCGTATTCGTCGTCGTTGTTGTCGTCGCCTTCCGTCGGCGTCGTCGTCGATGTCGGCGTCGGCGTCTGCGTGGTCGTCATCGTCGTCGTCGTCGTCGTCGTCGTCGTCGTCGTCGTCGTCGTCTTCTGTCGTCGTCGTCGTCGGCGGCGTCGACGTCGGCGTCGAGTTCGGCGTCGGCGTCGATTTCGGCGTCGGCGTCGGTGGCGGCGTCGGTGTCGGCGTCGGCGTCTGCTTCGTCGTCGTCGTCGTCATCGTCGTCGTCGTCGTCTTCGTCCCCCCACCATCTTATCTGGTTGGGGGACTGTGGGACCCTGGGACCCATCCCATCTGGCCGGGCGCTGCGAGCCCTCGACCCAGGATCATGTATGGCATTAGCTGCTACTTGTGCAGTAATCCGGCCGTCCCTCTTGATCTGCAATCTCAGCAGCTCAGCCTAGCTTGATCCCTAGCCTCAGCCATAGCTTCAGCCCTGAATTTGCCCGCATGCGCAAGTTCAAACCGGCGGCGAGCCCATGGGGGAGGCGGCGAGAGGGGGCGGGCCTCCTCAGAAGGCTCCGAAGGCCTCCCCGGCCTTCTGAGCAGCCGAGAGGCCTTCTGGGCCTCCTCCAGAGACGGAGGGAGCCTCCCAGAAGGCCAGAGGGCTTCCGAGAAGCCCCGCCGCCCTCTGACGAGGCCTGCCCCCCCCCATCACGCCCCCCCCCCCCCGGTGTGCCGCCGAGAGCCTGGCTTGCGGGTCGCAGCTCGGGCCTCCAGCGGCCGTGTGCGGTGCGCTCGGGGAAGCTGGGAAGCTGCGTCGGCCCTCGGCGGAGCCGCCGGAACGCCTCCCGACTCCCACACTTCCCCCGTGGGCGCGCCTCCAATCGAACGTCGTCGTCGTCGTCGTCATCATCGTCGTCGACGTCCTCGTCCTCGTCCTCGTCCTCGCCGTCGCCGTCGCCGTCGTCGTCGTCGTCGTCGTCGTCGTCGTCGTCGTCGTCGTCGTCGTCCTCGTCGTCGTCGTCGTCATCGTCGTCGTCGTCGTCGTCGTCGTCGTCGTCGTCGGCAAGCGCAGCCGCCGTGCCTGCGCCTGCATCCAGCTGGCTTCTGGCTCGCTCTGCCGTGGGCTCGCCGCGGCTCTGCGGAGCCGTGCTCCCGGAGGCTCCGCGGGCCGCCCCGGGATGCCCTTGAGCTGCCTTGGGCGTGTGGGGCCTACCGAAGAGGAACAAAACTACATGAGCATAAACTCTTGGCGCTCCGCGCGGGTTTCTTGGATCCGCGCCTGGGCCCTCCGGCGCGCCAGGGAGGGGGGGGGTCCAGCGCGAATCCAAGAACTCCGCGCGGAGCGCCAAACATTTATGTTTCTGTGGTGTCTTCTTCCTCTATTCTACCGATCTCTCCCGAAGAGGCTCGGTGGCATCATCTTGGGACTGTCTGGACAAGCCTTTTTGCCGTCTTGGGGCACCCTGGCCTAGTCTCGGGCCGTCTTGGAGAGCATCCCGCGGAGAGCCCAGGGCTGTGCGGGGGCAGTCTTGGGACGGCCCCGGGCCGTCTCGGGGCCGTCCAGGGCCCTGTCAGGGACCGCTTGGGGGGTGGTCTTAGTGGATGTTTGGGGCTTCTGGCTGCTTCTCGGGGATTCCGGGGCTGCAGAAAAGCCACACGTTTTTCATCGTGAGGCCTTCCAGGAGCCTCTTGGAGAGTCAATGGAAGTATCTAGGGCTTCTCCTGGACCTCCCAAGAGCTGTTGGGACTCTCTTCCTGTCCCTTGAGACGTCTAGGGATCGTCTGCAAGGGTCTTGGCTCCGTCCTGGGATAGGTTATGGCTTTCCTTGGGGGCTTATTGGCCAGCCTCGAGGTTGAGAAGGGCGCCAGAGAGGGAACGGTACGGCGGACCATCCTTCGACGGCGTGACGTCGACGACGTGGCAAGGTACAGAAACTCCACCAGATAGCCTCCAGGCATGCCAACACGTCCTGGCCCACCAGGGGGCGCGGTTGTGGGTAGCTGTGCAGCCAAGACGCTGAACGCCTCGGATGCGGAAGGGGCTCGCTGTTCCTTAAGCTCTTCCATGGCTCCTCCTCCATCACTCCTCGTGCACCTAAGCGCTTCTACGGCCAAGAAGGGGCTTCGTTTCTTATTCAGCATTCCTTCTGATAGTACCTCGACTGTAGCTGACGCAAAACAGGGCTCCAGCCGCAGCTTGGCTCTGCAGCTGAGCATGACGCAGATCTGGCATCAGTTCTAGCTCCAGGCCCACAGGCGGCCCGGATGAGTAGGTCGACCCTACCAAATCAAGAGTGCCCTTGTGTCCTGTGTCTCGCGACCCATGCCTCCTACATTCCTATGGCAGTGTGGCCCTGGGAAGGGTCTTGTGTCCTGTCGCGCGTCCTGTCCAATCAAGTCCGACTGTAGCACTGACCTGGCCTTCTTCGGACTGAGCCGGGCTTCACCCTGCGCTCGGCGCTCGGCTTTTCGGTGGCGACCGCGCCCGGGGCCTGGGCCGTGGGACCCGGGCCCAATCGCGGCCTCCGCGAAGCCGGCCTCCTTGGCCGAGGCGAGTGGTACACGTGCGCGATCCAGCTGAAGATCAGCCCGGAAGACATGGGCCCGCCGCTCGGCGCGCGCTGGCCCGCTGTGGCCGGCGACCGGGGCGACAGGCGCCGTGGACCGCGCGACGGCCCGAGGGTTCGGTCGGCCCGCGACCTGGCCGGTTGCCGCTGCCACCGGGGCCCCGCGGGCGTTTTTTTTTTTTTTGTTCTCTCTCTCTCTCTCCATTTGCCTCCCGGCGTGCCTCATCCTCCGCAGTCTCCCTCTCATCTCTTTCCCACTTCTCCTTCCCCCTCCTCCCCTTTTCCCCTGCCTTTCGCTTCCTCCTCCCCTAACCTCTTATTCCTCCATCTCCTTCTTCCCTGCAGTTACACAACATGAGCACTCCTCTCCTCGTCCCCCCCTGATCTTGCGCCAGCGTGCTCCCGCCTCTTTCGCGCATTGCCTTTCACACAGGCTTTCTTCATTGGGTTTTCTTATTCCTGATTCCTCAAACAGTGCTTCGTAGCGCCCTCCCGCTCTTTATGGCGCCAAGTCCGGCGCGAGGCGCCGCGTCTCTAGGCATTACCAGCCGTTCGTCGCGCGTCGCCGTTCGCGCGCTTTGGGAGCCAGCTGGTCTTACGTGTACGCCCCGCCCAGGCCCAAAGGGTGTGACGTACGCGGCGCTTGTAGCCGCGGCGTCTGGAGCAGCGCGTCCGATTCGGTGCCTCTCTGCCTCCCTCGCTCCCTCCCTCTCACTCTCTCTCTCTCTCTTTTCCGTCCTCCTCCCTCCTCGTCCCTGCAGAGCTGAGGCCTGAAGCCCGAGTACGTGGTCTATTCCATCCCCGCCGACACTCAGCCCGAGCCAGGGGCGCCGGTCTACCGTAGGCCAGGGGCGGCCCTTCAGGGGGGAGGGAGGAGGGGAAAGCGGTGGAGCAGGAGAGGGCAGGAGACAGGATGGAGGAGAGAGGAGGGGACAAGCGGAGGGAGAAGACAGAAGACGGGAGGAGGGGGATGAGGAGGAGGAGGAGGAGGAGGAGGAGGAGGAGGAGGAGGAGGAGGGCGAGGAGGAGGAGGAGGAGGAAGGAGGAGGGAGGAGGAGGATGAGGTCGGTAAAACGCGGCCTTGGGGCGACTGTCCGTCGACGACTGAAGCATGATAACGAGGAACGAGGCATGAGGCAGGAGTAAGATGAGGAGGAGGAGGAGGAGGAGGAGGAGGAGGAGGAGGAGGAGGAGGAGGAGATGGGGGAGGATGCCGACATGCACGAGGTATGGAGGTAGATGCAAGAGGAGGCATGGAGCGGACCATAGGGCCCTGGCCTGGGTTGCCGTCTTGGTTATCTTGAAATGGTTTGGTGTCCAAGTGCCGAAATCATTTGCATTGCATGCGGTTGAACGTATTTCCATGTGTGTATGCGTGGCTGGTTCACCCCTCATGCGCGCGGCCTCGCCTTAGGTATGCGCACAGATGCGCACGCGCGCACCGTACTAGCACGTGCCGCGACGTCGCATGTGCGCGCGTGCTTTCGTACGTGCGCGTGTCTGCACATACGTGCGCGAGTGAAGCCTGCGCGCGCAAGCAGGGAACTCGTGCAGGTCCCGTGCGCTCCCCAGCCAGCTTGCCACGCTGCGCTGGGGCGCGCTGCCCCTCCACCAGCGCAGAGCTGGGCGGGCCGCTCTCTTCTGCCGTGCCGAGCCACCTCGCCTGCCTCTGGGGCGGCAAAGGAGGGGTGATGACCAGGGCGGGGGATGTCATGGCGGGAGCCATGGTACCTCCCCAGATTCCATGGTGCCTCTTCTCATTTCAATGCGACGCGTCCCCAGCCCCCCCTCCTGGGCCGCGCACATGCCTCCGTCCATGATTTGCGCCCACGCCTCTTGGACGCCCCCCTCTTGGACGCCCCCGACTGCCAACCCCCACGAGCACGCGCGCAGGCTGATCACTCGTGTCCAGACGGAGTACCCGTCGCCGGTGCACACCATCGGCCTCACGGACAGGCCGCCCCGCCTCAGAGAGGGGTGCCGCGTCTTGGGGGAGGAGCATGTGGTCAGCACTTGGCACCTCTCCGCCAGAGGAAGAAGAGGGGCCCGCCTCCTCCTCCTCCTCCTCTTCCTCCTCCTCCTCCTCCTCCTCCTCCTCCTCCTCCTCCTCCTCCTCCTCCTCCTCCTCCTCCTCCTCCTCCTCCTCCTCCTCCTCCTCCTCCTCCTCCTCCTCCTCCTCCTCCTCCTCCTCCTCCTCCTCCTCCTCCTCCTCCTCCTCCCCCCCCTTCCCTCGTCGCCACGGCCGCATGCGCCCCGGAAGCCTGGTCAGGACGCGCCCCATGGAGAGGTCTGGGCGCCCAGACACCTCCGACGCCAGGACTTTTTTCAACGCGGGGCCGCCGGAGCTCTGGGCCGGCCCCCAGAGGCCCGCAGAGGCGCAGATCCGGCCGATCCGGCCCAGAGACAGACTTCTTTGTCCGGATCGCCGGGGCCGCAGAGGCACCAGACAGAGGCCCGACAGAGAAGTCTCTGCCTCTGTCCGGACAGAGCTCTGGGCCGGCCCCCAGAGGCAGACTTCTCTGTCCGGATCGTCGGCGGAGCCTCGGCGCGGGATCCATGGGGGCGCGGGGCTGGATCGGGACCTCCTGCACGGGGCCGAGATCGCACCGGAAGAAGCTCTTCGGTTTCGCGTCCATTTGAATTGTTGCACTCCTCGTCCCAGATCCCGTCTTGAAGGTCCTTGGGCCCGGCGAGGGCCCCCAGACGTCAGAGACGGCGGGAAGCCCTCCGTCTCGAGTTTGCTGCACACGTTGGAGGTCCGGGTAGAAAGCAAGCGGTACCGGTGCCTGTTCGTTCCCCCACCTTTCCCCTTCCGCGCGCCCGGTCTCCTCCCTCGCCTGCTGTGTTCCATTCGGCCCCGCGTTGTCCAACTCGGCCTCGGCTTCTGTAGCTTTTGTTCCTCTGCTGGTGGGGGAGCTGTGGTTTGCCGCCATGCCCCTGCAGGTTCTTCATCATGATCCAGATCCCGTACCCGCTCAACTGGGACGGCATGCTGAACGCGGAGGGCAAGTGGCTGATGACCGGCAAGTACGAGGCGGCGGGTGGAGTCCAGACGCTGAGATAAGGACCACTTCGGGCGCAGGGAGGGCTCTGGCCGTTCCTTAGACCCAGGTCGCCGTGGCCAGAACAGAAACCGTCGTTCCTTACGTTGGCCTCCTGATGTGGATTCCGAGTGGCAGTAAGATGCTTGTAAGTGCCCTGGTGGAGTTAGGGGGCCAATCGTGATCGCGTTGCCATCTTTTCTCCATGCAAGCGCTGTTGCTTGTTGCCCACGGTGTCCATGCACGGAGATGTACTCGACCCCCACCGGCCCCCGCCCCCGCCAATCCAACCAGCGTGCACCCGGCAAGGGGAACCTGAACGACTACAACACTTGGCAGCCCGAGCGGCCGACCATCATCCGCTTGATCGACAAGGCTCAGGAGAGGAAAAAACACACAGACACAATTAATCCTCGATTCCTCAGAAATATGGAAAACTATGGGAAGTGTGGGGGAAGACAACAACCCAGAACATATGGGGAAATATGGGGAATCTTTTTATTTGTGTGTGTTTATTTGTGTGTGTGTTCTGGGGCCCATCGACAAGGTGACCGGCGAGCAGCTGCCCGTGTTCGAGACGTTCCCATTCTTCTTCTTCCACGTCATCAACACGTGGGAGGAGAAGGGCGGCGCGGACGGCACGCAGGACTGCGTCTTCATCGACGTCGTGTGCTACGAGGAGCCACCCGTCGGCTTCCCGCTGCGTCAGGCGCGCTCCGGCGACGTGGAGGACCACGGGGAGCAAACAGTGACAGAAACAGAAACACCGCGGAACACAGATGATGACGTAAACATAAACACTCGGAGATCCGCGCGGACTCCTCGGATCTGCGCTGGGGCCCCGTGGCGGCGCCTCTGGCGCCGCCCCTGGCGCGTTCCGCGCTCCAGGGAGGGGGGCTCCAGCGCCGACTCGAGAAGCCGCGCGGACCTCGGAGTTTTTATGTTTATGTCATTGTTTGTTCCCCGAGGATTGGCGTGGGGGAGGAGGCGAGGTGAAGCGTTTCTGCCTGAACCTTGCTACCGGCGAGAGCACCTGCTCGGGCTGGCCAGACAATTGTTTCGACGAGCCGAAGATCAACCCGAAGGTCTCCGGGCAGCGGCAGCGATTCAGCTACGGCGTCATCGACGACAACGGCATGCTCCGAATCACCAAGCAGGATGCGCGAATGGGCACATCTCGAGACCTCAAGAAGACAGCAGGCACACATACGAGGCCATGAGCTGTCCTCTGCGGGGTACTTGAGCGAGGAACGCTCTCCCGAAGGCTACCGTCGGGAACTTTGGCTTAGCGTGTCGCGTCGCTGGCCTCCCGCCCCAGACATGGCGTGTCGCCGGGGCCGCCGCAGCGACACGCTGATCAAACAATCCTGGCCGTAGACCTTATATCGTAGTCCTCATTCTGCCGAGGCCGCGAATTCCCCGCGCTTGGCCCACGTATTCCCCGCTGTAAGCCCTCCATCGGCTGTGCGATCCTGAATTCTTGATCCAGCGACCCCTGATCCGATGCCGCCGTAGTCAGTATAGAAGTGCGAGTGACGACCAGGCACACGAGGGATGGTGGTCCCTCCCCGCCGACACTGTATTTCTCGTGGCGTCAGCCCCCTGGAATCTCGGCCACTTCCCCAGGGCCAGCGTTTCATCCTGAGTCGTCTCTTGACGGTCCCGGGGCCAGGACACGGCCCCCGGAGGCCGAAGACGACGCAGAGCGCCACCTCTGTGTGCTTGCAGCGCTCGGATCTGAAGGGGTCTCAGACTCGGCGGCGCGCCGGAGAGAGGTACGTGAGAGGGGGTACGCCTCCTCAGGAGGCGCCGGGGGCCTCTCAGAACTTGGCATCGCTCGGACGTGTGCCTTTTTTCTCGGCGAGGGCCATCGAGGAACAACTTTGATCATTCAGCGGAAGATGCACGCACGAAATCGAAAAATGCACGGGGCATGGACGTCCGAGCGATGGCGAGAGAAGCACCCCCGGCCGACTGAGAAGCCCGCGGGCTTTCTGAGAAGACCTCTGTGGCTTCGGAGGAGGCTTGACTAAGGAGGAGGAGGAGGAGGAGGAGGAGGAGGAGGAGGAGGAGGAGGAGGAAGAGGAGGACGAGGACGAGGACGAGGACGAGGACGAGGGGGAGGACGAAGACGAGGACGAGGACGAGGACGAGGTCGTAGACAACTTCTCAGAAGGCCGGAGGTCTTCTGAGCCTGCAGGGAGGGCCCGCCCCCCTCTGCCTTTTCCCCTGAGGGCGCGCCGGCGGCGGACGCCCGCAGGACCACGAGACCCACGAGGTCGTGAAGTGGGGCACCCAGGACGTGTCGCGCGAGCTGCCCTGGCAGCCCGTCTTCGTGCCAATGCCGTACAGCGACAAGGAGGACGCCGGGGTGCTGCTGTCCTGGGTGCGCGACCAGCCCACGGGCGACTCGTTCTGCGTCGTGCTCGACGCCGAGACCTTCGAGGAGCTCGAGGGAGGACGAGGTGCCGATGCCGCTGCTCGTCGTGGGCAGCCCCCGTCGCCACGAGTGGACTCTCCCCGAGGCTCTGGCCAGAGCGAGCCCTGGGGGGAGAGGCCCCAGGGAGCGGCGGCGTCGGTGCCCTGGCCGCCCCCTCCCCCCCCCGAGGAGCACGCTCGCATCCACTTCCCCGAGGGCCACCACCTCCCGCTGCACGGGCACGGGCACTGGATGCAGGGCCAAATCTGAGCCGATGGGCTTGTTTTCCACCACCACCAGCACCATAAGTAGGAGGGGGAGGGGGTCCTCCTCCTCCTCCTCCTCCTCCTCCTCCTCCTCCTCCACCACCTCGTCCTCCTCCTACTTTTCTTCCTCCTCCACTTCCTCCTCCTCTTCGTCCCCCTCCTCCTCGTCCTCCTCCTCCTCTTGGTCCCCCTCCTCCTCGTCCTCCTCCTCCTTCTCCCCTCCAACTTATGGTGGTGGTGGTGGTGGAAAATAGGCCCATCATGAGACGCCCATGCCCTCCCGGAAACCAAGATCCGACGGGCACCAGGGCCAGCTCTGAGCCGCCCCTGCCCTCCCCCAAAGCCGAGGGCCGACGGGCGCCGGGCACTGCTTGGGGTGCTCGGTCGGCGTCTGAGGCGGCCGATCTGAACGAACAGTGGATGCGTGGCCTCGGAGAGGAAGAAGCATCGGCACGAACAGATGATCTGGAAGCTCCGCGCGGATTTCTTGGAGCGGCGCCGGAGGCGCCGCCAGGGGGCCCCAGCGCAGGTCCAGGAAAGCTGCGTGGAGCGAACAGAGCTTTGGAGGGTTTCTCCGAAGGGCTGAGGCGACCCGTCCTCCTCCTCCTCCTCTTCCTCCTCCTCCTCCTCCTCCTCCTCCTTCTCCTCCTCCCTCCTCCTCCTCCTCCCTCCCTCTCCTCCTCCCTCCTCCCTCCCCTCCTCCTCCTCCTCCCTCCTCCCTCCTCCCTCCTGCCTCCTGCCTCCTGCCTCCTCCCTCCTCCCTTCTCCTCCTCCTCCTCCTCCTCCTCCTCCTCCCTCCTCCTCCTCATCATCATCATCATGCTCCTCCTCCTCCCCCCCCCCCCCTCCCCCTCCTCCACCTCCCTCCTCCTCCTCCTCCTCCTCCTCCTCCTCCTCCTCCTCCTCCTCCTCCTCCTCCTCCTCCTCAGGTCGCCTACGGCCCCGGGGAAAACCGTGCACAGAGCTCATGTTCGTGCCACAGTTTCTTGCTCTACGGACGCATGGCCAGCTCTGGGCCGCTCTCGGGCACCGATCCGCCTGGCAGCTTCTGGTGGTGCGGGGTGGGCCTCGCCCGCTGTCTCTCTCTCTGGGGCCTGCTGGGCGGGGCGACCTCTCGGTGGCGTTGGCGTCTTTTCTTCCCCGCAGGTCGTGCGAAGACCCTACTGGGATGAGGAGAAGAGCAGCAGGAAGGGGAGAGCAAAAGAGAGAGAGAGAGAGAGGGAAAGAGAGAAAGAGAGGTACCTAGATTGGTGTATATATGCACACGTCAAGTCAAATCAATAACGCCGTGTCTGCACGACACATCGACATATACGTGCACATCCAATATGCACAGGTTCCATTCCATATTCTTCTCTTGAGCGGAACCTTGCGACCCCCCCTAAACGGGACCCCCCTGATCTCTCGTCTCGGGGGCCTTCTGGGCGCTCCTTAACAGGGTCATCCGGGACTTCCGGGCTTTTGAGGATCACTCCCAACCAGTGCAAACGGCACAAGACAGTCCAGCCCCAAAGGGGTCCAAAATTGTCCAAGAAGCCTTGAAAATGCCCTTCAAGAAGGCCTCGAGAGGCCATATTCGTTGACGGCCCAAAAGGCCCCGAGATCGCCCCAAGACGGCCCAATAAGCCTCCGAGAGGGCCCCGCGACGGCCCAAGAAGACTTTCAGACGGCCTAAGACTTTTTCAACTTCCGAAGACCTCCTCCCGGGGATGGTTTTCCATCCCGACAGAGGACGGCAAAAGATCAAGGTTCGAGGTTCGACGATCGAGGTTTTCCGTCCGTTTTCCGTCCATTCGGAGCCTCCACCGTTCTCGTCGTCGCATGGCAGGGTCCGCCTCGAGATTCGGGTCCAACGCAACCCAAGACTACTCAGGGGAGCCGGCAGCAGTTCAAGGCCACGGCGAGTGGCGAAAAGAGCCACATTGCACGAAGCTCGAAGGACCAAGGTGCATGGCTCGAAGCGCCAATGCAATCTTGTGTGCATGTGTAGATACCTATACGACCACCCTGCGGGTGATAAGGAGGTCAGGGGGGAGGGGGAACCAACGTCTCACTCAATCGATCTCGCTATCGATCTCACAATCGGTCTCACATTCGATCTCACTATCGATATCACTATCGATCTCGCTATCGATCTCACTATCGATGTCACAATCGATCTCACAATCGATCTCACATTCGGTCTCACATTCGGTCTCACTGTCGATCTCACTATCGATCTCACAATCGATCTCACAGTCGATCTCACAATCGATCTCACGACGACGACGACGAGCAACATCGTCATCATCAACATCATCATCATCATCATCATTATCATCATCGGGACACCATCATCATCACCATACTCAATCATCATCATCACCATCATAGTCATCATCATCGGGACACCAGAATCATCATCATCAACACCATCATCATCGGGACACCATCATCATCATCTCATCGTCATCCTCAACATCGTCATCATCATCATAATCATCATCATCAGCATCATCATCATCATCGGGACACCATCATCGTCATCACCATCAACATAATAACCATCATCATCACCATCGGGACACCATCATCGTCATCATCGACATCATCATCATCATCAACATAATAGTAATCATCATCATCATCATCATCATCATCATCATCGGGACACCATCATCATCAACATAATCATCATCACCATCATCAACGTCATCATCAACATCATCGTCATCGGGACACCATCATCATCAACATCATCAACGTCATCATCATCATCACCACCATCATCATCACCATCATCACCATCATCACCATCATCACCATCATCACCATCATCATCTCACAATCGATCTGACTATCGATCTCACAATCGATCTCACTATCGATCTCACAATCGATCTCACATTCGGTCTCACTATCGATATCACAATCGATCTCACAATCGACGTCATCATCATCATCATCATCATCACCATCATGAACAACATCAACATCATCATCATCGCCATCATCAATATCATCATCATCATCACCACCATCATCATCATCACCATCATCATCGTAATGATCATCATAATCATCATCAACATCATCATCGGGACACCGACGGGACACCGGCGGGACACCGGCGGAACACCGCGGGGCCCCGGCCGCCCGGAAGGGAATCATTTGGTCCGGCCGCGCCTCAGCCACACGGGACACCAGCGGGACACCGGCGGGACACCGCGGGGCCCCGGCCGCCCGGAAGGGAATCATTTGGTCCGGCCGCGCCTCAGCCACAGGAGACTTTCTCTCGCCCGCCCACGCAGCTTCGCCTCGCCCGCACGCACGGCACGCACGAACACGAAACCGAAATCGATTTCCCGGTAGGGGGGCTCTCCGTTCCACTTCGATCTCACCCCCTCACCTCCGATATACACATATGCATACATACTTTTATACACGCACCTACATATGCTCAGATAACATACTACAGGCGGCCCGGATTAGTAGGTCGACCCTGCCAGATCAAGGGTACCCTTGTGTCCTGTGTCTCGCGACCCATGCTCCGTCCATTCCTGTGGCGACGTGGCCCTCGAAGGGGTCTCGTGTCCTCTCGCGTGCCCTCTCCAATCAAGCCCGACTGTATAACGTGTTAAAGAGCAGGGTCGGGCGCCCTCGCCTGGCTGCCTCTGGTCGCCATGGGTGCCCCTGGCTCCCCGGGGAACCTAATCATCCAGCGGCCGTAGAGCTGCACCCTCCTCCTCCTCCTCCTCCTCCTCCTCCTTCTCCTCCTCCTCCTCCTCCTCCTCCTCCTCCTCGTCCTGGCGGACGGCCCCAGATAGCTTCAAGATTCGCAGGCCTAGAGGTTGACACCAACACCAAGATCGGCGGTGTGCCTCCACCGAGGGAAGACGATCCCGATCTCGGCGATAGTGGTAATATAATGGCTTCCAAGGTGACCGAGACACTACCACCAACACCTAAATCTAGGATCATCTTCCCCCGTGTTGGTGCCAATTTCCATACCTCCAAAAGATGGCCCAAGAGAACTCGACGAGCGCTTCCCAGAGGGCCCCAAGAGGCAAAAACCATTGATTTCGCATAGGTTGTTCGATGTTTCTGGGGTTCTCGACTTTCGAGCTTCCGCCGCTCTAAGACGTCCCAAGAGGCCCCGAATACCGCCCCAAGACGGCCCAAAAGGCTCCCAAGACCGCCCTAAGACGGCCCAAGAGGGTCGCAAGATGGCCCCAAGAGGGGCCCGAGAGGGCCCAAGAGGACCTCAAGACGGCCCCAAGAGGGGCCCAAGAGCAGGAGCCCGACAATTCGAACCCTCCCTCCCACGATGCTCCCAGACGGCCCAAAAGGACTCGACGAGCGCTCCCCAGAGGGCCACAAGAGGCAAACCTAATGATTTTCTGCAGGTTGTTTTATGTTTCGGAGTGTTTGACTTTTCCAGCTTCCGGCGCTCCACGACGTCCCAAGGGCCCCCAAGACCGTCCCAAGACGGCCCAAGAGGCCCCAAGAGGGCCCAAAGACGGCCCAAGGGGGTCCCAAGCGGCTCTAAGGGCGCCCAAGGCGCCCCAAGACGGCCCCAAGATGGGCCCGAGCGCAGAGCCCGAAGCGATAATTCGAGCCTCCCGTCCCAAGATGCCCCTAGACAGCCCAAGAGGACTCGACGAGCGCCCCCCAGATGTTTCGACTCAGGTATTTATGGGCCCTCCTCGCCCTTCTTGGGGCCCTCTTGGGCCCGAGGAGGCGGCCGCGCGACGAGACGCGACACGCCCCGGGGAGCACGCGCCAAGCCTTGGAGAAGCCAGGGGTTGGGGGTCCAGGCCCCGTGAAGACTCCTCGGGAGCGTGAGGGCTGCGGCGAAAGGGATGGGGCAAAGGACCTGCGGACGCGCCCGCTCTGTCGGGGCGGCCAGCTGCAGCAGTCCAGTCGCGAGCGTTTCACCGTAGATCGCAAAGAGCTCTTGGACGCCATGGTGCTGAAGGCGCAGAGCGCAGCGGAACCCAACGACGCGCGAACGATGTTCGCCGT